TGACTTTATGATTTGATGAAATTTGTTTTTTTAATGACTGCTGCATGTGCTTGCCAGCCCCCCTAGACTCTGGCTGTGAAGAGGAAGACCATGGCCATAATAGGCACTCTTTTTTTAATATATATTTTTATTGATTTTTTACAAAGAGGAAGGGAGAGGGATAGAGAGTTAGAAACATCGATGAGAGAGAAACATCGACCAGCTGCCTCCTGCACACTCCCCACTGGGGATGTGCCCGCAACTAAGGTACATGCCCTTGACTGGAATCGAACCCGAAGAAGGAGCGCTCCAGGGGCCCCTCCATAGTGTGGGAGAGGACTTGCTAAGAACCCCATGTCACAACTGGGAACCACTGCCCTTCCCACATTTCTGCCAGCAGGGCAGTGGGGAGAGCCCTAAGGGAGGTAGAGAGTTTCCCCTGAAAGTCACACCTGGTCCGGTCACCTGAGGCTCACGAAGTGCTACTCCAGGGAATGGCTGTCTGGACCAGCCTGCGGCCTTCTGCTGCCTTTCCCCCGACTTCAGGGCACGCTCTACAGCCACAGCAACTTCGTGCCACTGCTTGGATTTTACAGGCTGCCCTTGAGAGCACTAGGCTTTGGGGGGGAAATACTGGCTTTGCTGTCAGACAGAGCTGGGTTCAAATCCCAAGCTCTGCTACTTACTGCTTACACAGCAGGGCGTCACTGTGAATGAAATAGTAACTCGTTATTAGGACAAATCACTTAACCTTTCCAAGCCTCAGTTCCCCCACCTATAAAATTACAATAAGGCCTTCTGTCCTCCTAGGGTCATTAAATCAATCACAGCTATAAAGTATCTGGCCTGGCACAGAGTAGGTACTCAATGAAGGTTAGTTGACCTCCCCCTTCCTGTTCCTTCTGTGGTCAGCTTTAGGAGTCAAGAGTTCCAAGGAGAGGCCAAGTCTGTAACCTGGCCTGAGACAAAGGTGGCCTCTGTCCACACCCTAGATCAGGGGTGGGCAAACTTTTTGACTCGAGGGCCACAGTGGGTTCTTAAACTGGACCGGAGGGCCGGAACAAAAGCATGGATGGAGTGTTTGTGTGAACTAATATAAATTCAAAGTAAACATCATTACATAAAAGGGTACGGTCTTTTTTTTTTTAGTTTTATTCATTTCAAACAGGCCGGATCCGGCCCATGGGCCGTAGTTTGCCCACGGCTGGGTTAGAGCATCAGACAATGCACCAAAGGGTCATAAGTTCAATTCCCAGTCAAGGGTGGGTTTGCTCTCTGCCCCCAGTCGAGGAGCATGCTCGAGGCAACCAATCGATGTGTCTTTCTCACATTGGTGTTTCTCTCTCTCTCTCTCCCCTCTCCACTTCTTTATCTATTCATCTATTGATGGACACTGTGACATTATTTTCTAATGTGTTTGATGGAATGAAAATGTAGTGATTTGATATCTACTTTAACCAATTTTCTAAGAATCATAAGCTAGCTCCTCCTTAAAGATCTAAAATGCTATGTAGTCCCTTTTTCTTCTTGAATTACTAATTCTATTCTACTTCCCTCACAAGGTTGTGCTAATGAAATCTAGTTTTACACTTGAATGTCTTTTATTGAGCAACCAATAAAATAAAATTTGTGCTTGTAAATTTAAATGTTTAAAACTTCCTGGGACCAAAAGGAAGTTTTAAAATATATTACACATGTTGAAAGGCAATTTGTTATATGTGAAATTAAAAGGCTGTTTTTTACTCCAACTATATAAATTTATCTATAGATGAGTGTTACTTTGTAGAATGAATGAAATATGAGCACCATCAATTTTTTTCTTATTATTTATTTTTACACAAGAAAGTGCTGAGAATTATTTTCACATAAATCAAGTAGATGGTGATGGGAGGAGCAATATCTCTCAATTCTTTGAACTCCTGAGTTATTTGATAAAAATTATATATTAATCTATCATCAAAAATATTTTTAATAATCTCTCAGCAGATAAGCAATTAGGTCTCCTGTAAATTTTATTGAAAGTAAAGACCACAGTGCTAAAGAAATACCCTAGGGTGCCAGGCACAGGCATTGGTAGTAGTACATTTGAGCTTGATGACTGGATATTCCATCAACCATGTGCAACCCAGAAGAGGGGACAGTTGTGTTCATTTAGGGTTGAACTTGTGCCAGGTGTAGGTTAACTAAAATTCATAAACAGTACAAAGTAATACATGGTAGAATCTAAGCTGGACAAGGAAAGTGGTGAAAGAACACTGCTGATGAACTGAGGAAAAGTGGATGGGAGAAGGTAAAGGGAGGGCTTTTTAAGATGGAAGATTGGTTGGAGTAGTTGAAATGACAAATAGGTAAAAGAAGAAATTGTGATTTGTGAGTTTTAGAGGTAGAGCAGTTATCATGTGAAGTTCATGAACAAATGACTGAAGATGTGTTCATGAGAGTAGCTGGCCATGGTTTCAAAAGGCTTGTCCAGGTTGATATTATAAGGAAGAAAGAGCAGGGTGTGGAGTGGAGAGAAAGGGTGTGAGGCAGGCATCAACAGATTTGAATAATGAGAGAAAGGCTGGTGAAGGAGAGCAACAAAAAGAGGGGGAAGATGTTCTTGAAAGCTGAAAGGGGCAGGTCTTAGAGGAGCCTTCTTTGTTTAAAAGAAGCTGAAGGAAAAATGGTTTGGGAATGGCCGTGGTGGGTACCAAAGGCATCATACTCATTGCCTGAGCCTGATGTCTGAACACCTGCCCTTTGAGAAGCACAGGGGAAGCCATGTCCTTAGGGTAGAGCCCCAGCTACTAGGAGGGAGAAACTCAGAGCACATCTGAACGGATAGAGGAGTTTGGTGCTTATGGAGGGGCAGTAACAAGAGGTCGCAGTGAAGGGTTTTGGTAAGTGGAGAGGGGTGGGACGGAGCTCAGTCAGGGACAAGGAATACAGAGCTTTAATGAAAATAATGATACAGATCAAGATCCCTGGTGTATATGTGAGGAGCAGGTGAATTCTAGCTTGAGTGTCAACTGAAGATAACGGTAAAGAGGGTGGGTGGGTTTATACCAGCAGTCTTTTTTTTTTTTTTTAGAG